TGTTTCTTGCTTTTAATGGGAAATAGTCCAGACAAATCCTACACTGAGCCACATTTGCCACAAGTGAAATACACCAGTCCTGTTCACAGTGTCTGCTGTATTTCTGAGCAAACGTAAAGCTTTCAGTAGTACAGGCAGAAATTTTTACCAGCCGTTAGTATAAATCTTTACTCAGCATGCAGTGCCAAGTACATGTGTCTGGGAGGATTCCTGTCCTAATGCAAGAAAAAGCTGTAAAATGTTAACACACTGCCACTATAAATTTAGAGAGGACGACCCCTCTGTGGCTAAACTACCATAAAACCCAGCTTTACTGAGGCCAGTCTCACTTCCGCATCCACTGTACCCACTTTTCCTCCCTGCTCGCATACTTCCTTGCAACTTTCAAAACTCAGCACTTCAATTTTGTGTGCTGTGCTGATTTTAAATTGCACCTCATAGCCTTAAACTGTGTAGTTTAGTTAAAAAATAGCATGGAAGTGTGTGATGCAGGATTAGTTGGGTGTGTATGAGCTTGCATATTGCATGTGTACATCCAACAAGTCCCAGCATACAGATGCAGAAACTAAAGAGGCCTTCTTTTTCATTTATGTGATGTTCATTTGTTCCTGTGCACATATATTTATACAAGTCAAGCCGCCTGTTTCTGTTAGAGAGAAATCAGTCGCACAAACAGAGAACCAGAGCAGCAGCACATCATATCTCTGTGATGGAGGAGCTAAAGTCTCCAAGCTGTCAGCCCGTCTTCTCCCAGCACAATCCCTACCTGATGTATGATGCAGTATTCATACTGTGATACACAAGTGATCCTCCCAAAATGAGGTGGAGGGGATGTTACATAAAGTTCAGTCTTTCACTTTTAACAAGTGACACAGATGGTAATAAAGCTGGTTTTGCTTAGATTTGTCATTCCATTAAGCAATGTGGGGTTTTGAGGGATGCGTCAAATGGCAGGGTACACCTGTAACATCGCTGGCAGATATACATATATAGTTTTTAATTATATGCTTGGGATTTTAAGACTTCATCACATAGCCGACAGTTGAGAGATGACAGGGCCTGAGGGGAGGAAACGAACCAGGGTATGTTGTGGTTCGTGGTTGGTGTCTTAATCCCCCAGTAGCACATACTTTCATACTTTCTTTAACCTGTTTAATGAGTTTTCATGCTTCCTTTTAACATTTAGCTTTGACATTCAACATATTACAGGGCTTTTTTAAATACATTTGTTTGTGTGGCGTCAATTTAAACTGGGTTTCCTGCAGATGCTCATCAGGATCCTTCCTACAAATAGATAGTAAATGAGTTTCCATCCAACTTTTTTATGCACATTTGCAATTTGCACAAAAAACATTTTATGCTTCGCGGACGTATCGATAAGAAGAAACTGCCACTAAGTGCAATAAATCGAGATGCGCATGAAGCGTAAATATGCAGCTTTGTGACACTTCTGTCAAGTAGAACATGAGTATTGAAGAACCTCTCCATCCGTTCCATCCGGTTTTCCACGTGGTTTTCTAATGCTTGAGATTTGATAGCCTTCACTTAAGTTACTACGCCGCCTTCTTCTGCCGCGGTTTAAAAGCACCCCTCTGCAGGATTACCACCACTAACTGTTTGTCTTGATGTGACCAACTCATAATATTCAAACAGTGGCAGTGGATCGAAACACACATTAAGTAGCGTTATCTTTTGCCAGTTGTTCTGGAGATGTGGTTAAAATTTTAATTATATCTGGATGGAAACTTGGCTTGTGTCATCATTCTGTTAAATTAGGTTGAGGTAGCTCGGTTAAATTATCATCCAATCACTCATGGATATCTATGCCCAAGTTTAGATCCTTAAGTATATCTATATGTTAAAAATTATATGGATAGAGAGACAACAAAGAGACTTTACCAAAGACCTAACCTTGGCAAAAACATTTACACAAATGCTATATGGATCAATGAACATTCAGTGTGAGTACTGTAGAGTTATAGTTAGCGTCAGGTAGGACACTACATGACACTAAATATTATTAAACAACATTATAGATACATATAGTACATTACATTATACAATATAAAAGACTCTTTATGGTGCAATGACATAATAATAGGATGTGAAAAAGGGAAGTTTATATTATTAAAAGTCATTCTGACGGCCATTGTTTTAAAGTTTTAGGTGTTTCTCTTTGAAGTCAGTGGGAGGGATTCACTTTCAGATTCACTTTTAGGTTTTATTTGTGATACAGAGAGCGATTGGTGTGTCTGTGTGTGCGTGCCATTAGTCTTTTCTGTGTCTTTATTGCTCACTACTTCTTTGCTTTTGTCTGTCTCTTCAGTCTCTATTGGTTTTTTTCCCCCCCTGTTTATTTTTCCTCTTTGTCTCTTTAATTTTTCTCCCTTCCTCCTCTTCCTCACGCCTTCTCGTGACCACCTTTGGCCTCTAAGCTAATCGCTGAACAAGATAATGACACGGCAGCCCTGTGAAAACACTGCATCATTTATTATGCTGTGATAGAGTCATTTGTTTTGAACCTTCAGATAGTGTGTGACAGCTCTCAACTGTAAGGTGGTGTCGAAATGAAATATTACATCGGTTAGAAAAGCGTAAGGTGAAAATGAAGAAGTCAGTGCTGCCTTATCTGTTTGCTGTACGAAGCAGATAATATGCATTACATGCTATCAGCAGACCGTCTGGTAGCATCCTACCATATCTGAGTTGTGTTGATTTTTTTTAGGTTGGTAAATACATACATATTAACAGCCGCTCACGATTTGTACTCTCGATCGATTAATCTGTGCCCCGTTGATATATTAATTTGTCATTTCACAAACAATGAGAAACAATGACTCTCTAAGGTGCAGCACTGAAAAGGGGGTACTTTGCACCGGTTTAAGGCTTTTGTACACTGAATCCATTATCTTTGTGGCCTTTTATGAATCTGTCATCTGAAAAAAAAACACCTTGAAAATGCTGCAATCACACATGGCCATAGGTTTCAGGAGTGCGGGGGATGAAACTTTATAATAATGGTAGTATAACAGAAAATCTAAGTGATATGTAAACCTGTGCACTATTCAAGCGAGGGTAGGCAACGTTGGAGAAACTAACAAGAGACAGCTAGATTATAGGTAAACGTTGTTGTTTTCACTGACATAAGTTATAAAATGCTTTTAAAAAACAGTAACACACAAGAAAGAAATTCCAGAAGATGAAGCCGCAAACTAAAAACACAGCACATAGTAAAAATACACAATGCAGACCGGGGGCCTCATTTATAAACGGTGCGTACGTACAAAACGGGGCTGGAAACGTGATCTAGAAAAAACAAACTTGGCGGGAGAATGTGCGGTCCTCCTCCAAACTCTGAACCATGCGTACCATTTATAGGCAACTATTTGCGTTTTGAGGGTCCGGCATGGAGCTCCCTCACATGCCCCACATTTCAAGTTGATTGTGATTTTTAAAGGGAACTTGCTTACAGGTGTGCGTACGCACGTTCTGAATATTTTTTGGCGTACGCCATTTTTGCCTTTTGGGCACACGTACAGTTTAAATGAGGCCCCTGCTGCATACTGCCCGTCTAAACAAGAGTCTCTAGCTGCCTTTTGAACAAAACCGCAGAATCAGCAGACAGTAAGAGCGGTCCAAAGTTTGGGTGTAACGGCCTCACAAGCTCGATCAACGGATCGAACGGGTCAGACAGACACCAAGTTTTGCTTGCACAGGCTTTTTAATTTCAGCAGCTACAGATCTGTTTAATATTATTTCTTACTTGTAAAAAAAACAAGATCTGATTGGCTCCCTAACATGGGATTGATGGGATTAAATACTCTCCATAAACTATGCAGGTTGGAGTGAGCAGCAGAGGAGAGAGGCCCAGTATTTTACATAATCATGGGGCAACAAGCAGAACCTCCTTCTGATCAGCAATGAGCCTTTATATTTCTGAAAGTCCCCCTCCCTCCAGGCCTCTCTCCAAAGCCACTTCCCCCCAAAACACATCTTCATGTACAGTGAGTGCAGGTAGGCAGCCAATCATTATATTCTGACCAAAGCAAATGATTGACCTTATTGCTTTTTACAGTCCTGCATGGCCACAGAGACCGTATTTTTGTGTCATTTGATTTATTGATTGCTGTGTAGAGAAAATGTCACAAAAAATGCTTTTAATGTTTATTTGTTTGTTTTGTTTTTACCCAAAACAAGAAAAGTAATATTTGCAGCCCTGAGTACTGTCTGCAGGTATTCCTTTCAGGTTGCATTCTGCCCTGACAACCTCTACCAGTAAGTTAAGGCGGTCTGTATGTAGCCTCACTAGACAGCGTCTCCTAACTGTACTCATGATCAGTAGTAATTGTGTAAGTGTAAGTGCATTCAGTTATTATGGGCCCACTCTCTGGAACAAACTGCCTGATGATATAAGATGTACCACAACAACTGTACTGTCTTTTAAAAGCAGGATTAAGAGCTACCTGTTCTCTCAGGCTTATAGCTAAAGTGTCTCCATCTCTCTGTCCGTCCTTCTCTCTAGGTGTGGGTGTGTATGTTTAATTTAAATTCATTATCTATTTTGTTCATACTTAAATTGTATTAAATGTGCAGTATAAGTAAATGTGACTTGACTTGAGAGGCACAACCGTTAAATGTGAAACAAATCACCCAAGCAATAAGATATTCACAGATAAGCATCAAACTTTGGAAACAGCCCTTTGAAGAAAGTGTAATGAGCAGTTGTAAAGTAACACACACAGACTATATTATTTCTGTTTTTGAGACATTACTGCAGTCTAACATTAAAGCTATAAATAAAAGAGCCATGATCTGATGCTGGATGAGGACACCTGATCACCGTTTATGTTTCAGAGTTTCTCCTACAACTCAACTTGCACGATTTAGGGACTGTAACTGTAAAAGTATACAGGGTGTTGGTAATTTGTCAGCGTTGAGAAGACAGTCGGAGAGAAGCAGGGGTTTCGCATTAATCTTGGTGTCCTCTTCTTTCTCCAAAGCGTTGTGTACTGAAGAGTGTGCCCACGGACGGTGTGTCTCTCCTGATACCTGCCAATGTGAGCCGGGCTGGGGAGGACTGGACTGCTCCAGTGGTGAGTACAAATTATAGCAGCTTGCTTCACTTCACAATTAGTGTTAAAGCTCAAGTTAACAGGCTCTATAGGGCTGAAGTTTGCCTTCGCTCTTCATCTTTTTCCTCACGTTTACATAAATTAGTACACCATATGTGGACAAAACAGATATATATATATATATATATATGTTTAACGTAAACATAACATAAACAAACAATCATTTAAATTGGGTTATTAATGAACTGTAACCAAGATATACAATCAGCAGCCACTTTATTAGGTACACTTGTACAATTGCTTGTAAACACAAATAGCTAATCGGCCAATCACATGGCAGAAACTCAATGCATTTAGACATGTAGATGTGGTCAAGACAACTTGCTTAAGTTCAAACAGCGCATTAGAGTGGGGAATAAAGGGGATTTAAGTGACTTTGAACGTGCCATCTCTAGGGTTTACAGAGAATGGTCTGAAAAAGAGAAAATATCCAGATCAGAGGAGAAAGGGCAGACTGGTTCTACATGACAGGAAGGCAACAGTAACTCAAATCACCACTCGCTACAACCAAGGTATGCAGAATACCATCTCTGAGCGCACAACACGTGGAACCTGGAAGCAGACGGGCTACAGCAGCAGAAGACCACACCGGGTGCCACTCCTGTCAGCTGAGAACAGGAAACTGAGGCTACAGTTCACTCAGGCTCACCAACACTGGACAACAGAAGACTGGAAAAACGTTGCCTGGTCTGATGAGTCTGCTCTTCAGCTGCAACATGCAGATGGTCGGGTCAGAATGTGGCGTAAACAACATGAAAGCACGGATCCATCCTGCCTTGTATCAACGGTTCAGGCTGCTGCTGGTGGTGTAATGGTGTGGGGGAAATTTTCTTGGCACACTTTGGGCCCCTTAGTACCAACTGAGTATTGTTTTTAAACGCGACAGCCTACCTGAGTATTGTTGCCGACCATGTCCGTCCCTTTATGACCACAGTGTACCATCTTCTGATGGCCACTTCCAGCAGGATAATGCACCATGTCACAAAGCTCAAATCACCTCAGACTGGTTTCTTGAACATGACAATGAGTTCACTGAACTCCAGCGGCCTCCACAGTCACCAGATCTCAATCCAACCGAGCACCTTTGGGACGCGGTGGAACGGGAGATTCGCATCATGGATGTGCAGCCGACAAATCTGCAGCGACTGCGTGATGCTATCACGTCAATATGGACCAAAGTCTCTGGGGAATGTTTCCAACACCTTGTTGAAAGTGTGCCATGAAGAATTAAGGCGGTTCTGAAGGCAAAAGGGGTCCAACCTGGTACTAGCAAGGTGTACCTAATAAAATGGCCAGTGAGTGTACACTGAGAGGGACATTTTACAGTTAAAAATAAACTCTCTCTGGTGGACAGACTACGTAAGAGACACACAGTTATCTAAACTCGATTAAACATATGTCTGGCAATTCTATACTGACATGTTACTTATCAGCTAACATACTGTACGCTGACACCAACATGTCTGTGATACACAAATATCAGCTGATAATATCGGACAGGCGATGTCTAGTCAGTAGGATCATAGATGACACCTTAAGAAAGGGACACATTATGATTGTAGACCTGATTAGGAATATTATCGGGTGATCAGACCAAGTTGGACGGAGTCTCTTCCAGTCTGCCTTTCAGGCTGCCAAGGCTATAACATGTGTTGTGTGTGTTTTTTGTTCAGTGTTTGTAGGTGTCAGCCGGTTCTGTGGCAACAACAATTTTTTTTTAATGCCTTATTTACGCCTGCAACCATAGTTTGTCAAAGGTAACTGGCATGCACAAGCTGTTTGGGGAGATCTTTTGGTTCACACACTCTTGTTTCATCCCTGATGTACACAAATTAAACCTGGAGCTGGAGCAACATTTAAAGCTGGGGTAGGCAATTTATTCCACAAGCATTTTTTGTTATATTTGTTGAAATTATCCACGACAGCAATCAATAAATCAAACGCTCTGGCACGAAAATGAAAACAATCTGGTATCTGTGGCTGTCACAGGACAGTCGAGCACGGCCAGTCATTTCATTCAGTCCAGACAAAGTGAGGATTTGGAGGGAGGCCTGAAGGGAGGGGGGGGGGGGGATCTAGCAGTCTTTTGCTAGTTGCCTACCACAGCTTTAATTGTTGGTGACGGGGGCACACGTAATGATCAGAGTTTGGCATTTCAAAGGGACACCAAGTCATCTGATGTGGTGATAAAGAGTAGAGGTCAATCCGCAAGCTAATTCATGCAGAGACATTATAAAAATGTTAAAGGAGCAAGTAGAACATCTAAATCTGTTTGTTTGGCTTCAGAACAAAATCATCTGCTGTTCGTTGAGGTTTATTTTTAGAGCACAATCTAAAGCAGTTTATAGTGTTATACAGAGTAATTCAAGTGTAAAAAGTATGTTATGCATACTGTGTAACATAGATGCAGACACACAACTAGGGTTGGGCGTTGTGGCCAAAAATGTTATCACGATAAAAAACCATTTCATATCATTCGATATTGATAATTATCATGATAAATGTCAAATCATTATTTCCTTTAAGATTTTTGCTCCTGAGTGAAAATTGAAGAAACCAGATGGTTAATTATTTGGTTAAACTGTTCTTTATGGTCAGAATGTGACAAACACTTGATGCCAAACAGCGGATCACTTCGCAAATCTGAGTCAGAACATTGAAAACTATTATCTTTTTCAACAAATATGATTAGTTAATCTTTTTTCAGGCCTCTTTGTTCAACAAAATAAATATTTTAATAGAAAAATTGGGTGCTAATTTGTTTGTGATTCAAATGAATTAAAGCAAATATTTATTGACGATATGTTGAATATTTATTGTATTGATATTCAGGAAAATTATATTGCGATAATTATTGTTTTATTGCCCAGCCCTACACACAACCCTCTTGTGTTTATTCTTATAAAATAATAGACAGGCAGGCTGTTCCACAAACACAAAATGCTCTATCACCAGGTTTTGATTTAAATCAAGACGAAATGGCTTTTCCTGTGACCTGACTGGGGTGAATGTAAAGAGCAGCAACCAGATGATAAAATGAAAGTTTTATCTTCACAATAAACAGTCTGACCTTTAGGAAACTAGAGTCCATCTTGACTGCTTTTGATGCAAAACACAGAGTCCACCTCCTCTCAATTGCCGGAGTCTTGCGCTGACAGCTCCGAACATGGACCACCTGCCGAGTGCTTGATCCGGGATGTTGATGGGGCAGGTCTCTGTAAAGATGTGGGCACAACAGAGAGCACAGATGTTTTGGAAATATTCCTGAGATGAATATGATGGTTAAAGGTTAAACTTGACGTACTGTAGCAGCAGAGTGGTTTTGTTTTAGACCAGAAAGTGAGTTATGAAACAAGATGTCTGTGAAGGTTCATTCAGGTCATAGTTATCCAAAGAAGGTCAAAGTCAAGGGCAATTGCACATCCCTCATCCAAGAGACGTCTTTAGTTCTGAAATGACATTTAACCTCTGTGGGGTCGTTTGCCAGGATCATCGATACCACTGGTTCGTTAGCGCTCCCGGCTGTGGTGACGACAGTCGTCCTGGTCGTTAGAGCCACCCATGGCCAAGTTTGTGTAGTGTTTTTTTAGTTTCCCTAATATACAGGTCAGTGCATTCCTCACTGCACTGGGTCGCGTACACTAGATTGCTTTTCTTGTGTTTGGCTGTGCAGTCTTTGGGGTGTACCAGCATCTGTTTTAGCGTGTTCTTGGGTTTAAATTTCATTTTAAATTTTAAGTTTTGAAACCTTAAAATTTCAGAAACTGAAGACATTTAGGTCAGTTTTGTGGTACCAAACGGTAGAAATTGTACTGACTGCACCTTTAAACTGGAAATGAAGCTTTTTATAGTTTTCACAACTCCCTTGGAAGGCAAAAAATTTGTTATTTTCCGCTGCCTGCCAACCAATAAGCAAGTAATACACTGTTACTTTGAGTTGCTTGATGGTTGTTGTGCTTTCGAATGCACCAATCGAGGAGGAGACGAGCCTGAGCTGTGTCAGGTGAGGGAATCCCCACACGTTAAATTGAAACATACCGCAGTCGAGTGGCGGCAGGGAGCTGGCTGTATTTAACGGTAGAAATGCGGCAACGGATGCTGTAACGTTAAATGGCTCGGATATGCCCAACACTTGCAGTTTGTGTTCATAGCTTTCTTTTTCTTAAGTTGAAAGGTGATCCGAATAAATTTCAGCTGCTTTTGCGGCATCTCTACGTGGCATCCGCAGTGTGAGCCGCTATGTTGGTCTGTTGTTTTGCCCTCCAGGTCACCGCGCATGTCACTTGACTGAAAACTATGAATTGCACCTCAATATCCATCTCATTACCGCCGTTTGGTTCCACTCCTCAGCTCCTCAAACTCTCAGACTGCCCTCACGGCTGTCGTGAGTCCACCTCAGGATAAACCACAGGTGAATGTGTGTGCAGTTGGGGGGATTTGGGCTACTATTGGCACTTAATGAGTCACACAGCCCCTTTAGTCCCGCTTTGTTATTGGTGTGCTCCATACTTCCCATTGTTTACCTGTCTTTATTGCTGCCCAGGTGCCGAGGGACTGAGGCCAATCCAAGACAGGGGTTAGGTAAATCTACCACTACTTAGGCTAAGGGGCAGAGGAGGATGGAGTATGTCGATCAACTCAATCTAGTGTGTCGGGTTTACTCTGGACTTTAACTTTCTTTTTCTTTTTCTTTCTTATTTAGCTCTTATTTATTTTAGTGGTAACGCAGAACTCCGTGTGCCTCAGTATCACACCTCGCCTTGCAGATAGTGCAGCTGTGTGACAGGTCAATCTGAAGACTAGAAAAAACATTTTACCGTTGTCCCGTGTTAGATTAATACACCAAATCGTGAAAACTCTGCCTCCTCTTGCATCAGAATTTGCTCGTTACCTGTGGATGAATGTAATTTGCTATCAAGATGCTGCACTGTGAGACTGAATCGTCCCTCCCGTGGGGATAT